TTAATAGTCACGTATTCCAATCAGAGGCTAGACTTTTCAGATGTGCCTAAGGGAATCAGATGTCTAAATTTCAGTGTGTATCAGGCATCCAACTCCCTTAGGCTACTCTGAAAATAAGAACATAAGAACGGCCATACTGGGTCAGACCAAAGGTCCATCTAGCCCAGTATCCTGTCTACAGACAGTGGCCAGCACCAGGTGCCCCAGAGAGGGTGGACCAAAGACAAGGATCAAGCGATTTGTCTCCTTCCATCCCTCTCCAGCCTCTGACAAACAGAGGCCAGGGACACCCATTCTATCCCCTGGCTAAATAGCCTTTTATGGACCTAACCTCCATGAAATTATCTAGCTTCTCTTTAAACTCTGTTATAGTCTTAGCCTTCACAGTCTCCTCTAGCAAGGAGTTCCACAGGTTGACTGCACGCTGTGTGAAGAAGAACTTTCTTTTATTAGTTTTAAACCTGCTACCCATTAATTTCATTTGGTGTCCTCTAGTTCTTCTATTTAGGGAACTAATAAATAACTTTTCTTTATCCGCCCTCTCCACGCCACTCATGATTTTATATATCTCTATCATATCCCCCCTCAGTCTCCTCTTTTCAAAACTGAAGAGTCCCAGTTGCTTTAACCTCTCCTCATATGGGACCCATTCCAAACCCCTAATCATTTTAGTTGCCCTTTTCTGAACCCTTTCCAAGGTCAAAATATCTTTTTTGAGATGAGACCACATCTGTACCCAGTATTCAAGATGTGGGCGTACCATAGTTTTATACAGGGGCAGTAAGATATTCTGTGTCTTATTTTCTATCCCTTTCTTAATAATTCCTAGCATCCTATTTGCCTTTTTGACTGCCGCAGCACATTATGTGGATGTTTTCAGAGAACTATTCACGATAACTCCAAGATCTCTTTCCAGATTTGTCATAGCCAAATTAGCCTCCATCATACTGTACGTATAGTTGGGGTTATTTTTCCCGATGTGCATTACTTTGCATTTATCCACATTAAATTTCATTTGCCATTTTGTTGCCCAGTCACTCAGTTTGGTGAGATCTTCTTGGAGTCCCTCACAGTCTGCTTCTGTCTTGACTATCCTAAACAGTTTGGTATCATCTGCAAACTTTACTACCTCACTGCTTACCCCTTTCTCCAGATCATTTATGAATAAGTTGAAAAGGATTGGTCCCAGGACTGACCCTTGGGGGACACCACTAGTTACCCCTCTCCATTCTGAAAATTTACCATTTATTCCTACCCTTTGTTTCCTGTCTTTTAACCAGTTCTCAATCCAAGAAAGGACCTTCCCTCTTATCCCATGGCCATGTAATTTACACAAGAGCCTTTGGTGAGGGACCTTGTCAAAGGCTTTGTGAAAATCTAAGTATACTATATCTACTGGATCCCCCTTGTGTGCATGTTTGTTAACCCCATTCAAAGAACTCTAATAGAAATGCAAGCATAGAGCTTGTAGAAAGCAAGAGGTGGGAGAAGAGACCATCCTAAGTCACTTAGGCACAGATCTTCAAAGGACCTAACACCCATTGATTTTTTTCTATGAAAGTCTGGGCTATGGAAGGCTTTGCTAGAGCTACAAAAACTCGTACGCACAAGAAACCATGTGAACATGCTCACAGACACTACACACAAACTCAAGTATATGGTTACATAGCAATATTCACAGATACCCATCTATATGGACACCCAAACAGACGTCAAACAAACTCTTTTACATATACATAAAAACTTCCGTGCACCACACTGGTAGGAAGGAGTGCATTCGCATTGCCATGTTCACAAATCCATACATACACCGATACAAATAAATAGAAAGATAAACTCATGCCCCTTTATGGAGCTCTTAAGTCATATTGAAAAAAATAACTCCCCCATCTCTGTAAATGTCCCTTGTCAGTGATGGAAATTCTTCCTTAGAGAAGAAAAAAGGCTGCGCTGCCTAGAACTATGTACCTGCGCTAAAGAGCACATGGATTTAGGCAGCCAGAGAGCTATATGCCTGAAAAGGTGCTTGCTGATATGTTGGGAAGAGTGGAGTTAATATTCAGCCAGCTCTTCCTCTCAAGCTGCCCAGGGAACTCTGCCAAGGACCGCAACACTTGAGTGGGGAGAGAAGATGAGAATGATCGCCGACATTTGCCAATCTAAAATTGAATCCCACCATGCCTAATTAAGGCCTCGATGCTGCAATCTGAGTCTAACTGCTGCCCTCCCATGAAGGGCCCCATGGGTGCAGGAATCCTCCTGGTAGGATCTGAGTGCAGGATCAGGGCCTCACTGTGTCTCAGCTTGTTGCATCTGTGCTGGACCATAATTTCCTGTGAGCCGGGACCATGCATTTGCCTGGCTGTAAAAGCACTGAGTACATTGTAGTGGCTGGCCAAAATAATAATTAAGGGTCCACTTTGCTCCGTGGGGAGCAAAAGGAGACATGCTGCTTCTTAGACCATTTCATTGAGTTCAAAGCTGTCAGCGGTGTTTGCAGAAGACATTTCTTTCACTGTGTAGGACCAGAATATGGTCTCATTACAGCCAACAGCCTATTAGGTTACCACACAAATAATGCCACTGACTTTGGTAGGCCAGTGCTCCTGGAGGAAGGCACTATTCAAATGGAGTAGGAGTATCACAAGCTGATGCTTAATTATTTTTGCCTTCCCTACAATCACATTTTTATTATTTTAGAAAATATCCCAGTGACTATTGTAGTAAATATTAATATTATCTTACATTTCCATAGCAACTTCCATCACAAAGTATCTCAGACACTTCCCAAGTTGTTAGAGGAGGGAGAAAGGAATAAAAAATATTCCTTTAATTTTGTATTTTTTTTGAAAAGCTTGTTTCCATTTCATCACTCTGAAACAGAGGAGGATTTCCCTTTCCTTTTCCCCTCCAATGGCATTGGTGCCAAAATGGCCATTTTTCACGTTTTTAGAAAAATGTGGCACAAAAAAGATTTCACTTTTTAAAATGCAAATCTATTTTCAGCCCAAAGGATTTTGCATTTCAAAATGTCTGGGACTTGTTTTGCATTGGAAACAAAATCTGTTTTTTTGGGTGCGACACCTGTTTCCATTCCAAAGGGCTCCTGTTTTTCCAAGAAGAAACCTAGGGAAAAAAATTAATGGCACTTTCCTGTTTATTAGTATTAAAAATTATTATTATTATTATTAATCAAAATGCGCACTGTTTTGAGAAATTCAAATCTGGAAGACAGAAGTCCCAGTTTTCTAGGTTTATTAATTTTGTTTCAAATTGTCTTCAATAAATCTATAAATAACATACACATGACATCACAGCAGCCACATAGAGGGGAGAGGTTTGGAGTAGCTGACAGGCCCAGAATTAGCCTGCAGTTTTTCACTGTGGGACAGAGAATTTGCTATTGACGTTTAAGAGGTAACAGGGGTTTACAATGAAGTGTGTACCTATGGCATGGGAGAAGAATAGTGATTTTCATTTAGATTCCACTTAGATCCATACTACATGACTATGGCCCGTTAGCCCAAAGTCCTGCTTGCATTTAGGAACTCCATACTGACCCCTGTATTCCACACCAGGGCCTTGTGCAGCCAACACTCCTCCACACTGCCCTGCACTGCAACTATTAACGGGCTTGAGAGAGAGGCAGAAAAATCCCCCTCCCTTCCTCTTCTTCCCTGTATTGATGTTGCAAATCTTCCTTCCTGTCTGGGAATGACAGTGTAGGAATTAATGAGGAGTCAGGAGCAGGTTCCCATCGGCCCATGCTCAATAGAGCTCCCATCTGTCTGAGATGCCTCCATCTCCTATTGTGCCAATGGCAGGAGGAATATGGCTATTGTCATCATGGACACAGCGGCTTCCACAAGGACCAGAGAAACTCTATCCTCCAATGAA